TATTTCATTTGTGACGTCTTTGTTCATTTTCGTTTACAATACTGTTCACAATAGTTTTTCAATGTGTGCAATGTGGGGCATTTGTTGCATGGAAATATAATGTACATTGGCACTCTGCAATTCGTGCAAAACCGACTGCTTAGTGCATCAATATAATCGTGCTTCCTTACAAGATGCATTCCCACAATGTCGATGTCAGCCAAAAGGATCATGCATGCTGCACATGCAGTTAAGCACCATCCATTGTGTAGTAGCACTGGATCATGCAGTGTTTAGTACGGCTGTTCAATGCACGGATTTCCGGAGATGGCACAAATTTTTCTACACGATCTGTATCGTATTTGCTCGAGTCACTATCAAAACCAGTATCGTCAGATAGTACTTCTTCGTAGTGGAGAGCGAGTTGCCACTTTGAGAGCTCTATTGAGTTCGTCACGTGTAAAAGACTCACCCATCCACGACTGAATATTACTTTGTGTCAGATCCTCCAACTTCATCTCTTCTATATTTTCACTATTGTAAAACAAGCAAGAGGGAGGACAGAGTTTACTGATAGTAGTGTGAGAAATTGTAACAAGATCTTTACCTTTAGACATAGAGAAATTGTAACAAGATCTTTACCTTTAGACATAGAAGAAGAAGCACTTCTTCATCGGAATCTTGGTTCCTACTAATGCGATTTACATTGTATTTTTTTTTTTTTAGACAATTGACAGTATTCATATTTGGGGAATGAGTACTATCCAAGTCGATTTTTCAGATTTTTTTTTGGTTGAGTAAATGGTCAGCATAATATCAGACCTATGCTAAAACATAGTTTTGTATTATTTTGTATCTGAGCCTGTATTGAAATGATGATTAGCTACGTCGACTACGTTTTCAACGTTCGTACGCTATTTACATTGTACGCTATTTACACTATTTACATTGTATTTTGTTTTTTTTGTAGACAATGGACAATATTCATATTTAGGGAATGAATACTATCCAAGTCTGTTTTTAAGAGAAATCTGTCTTTTCAGACTTTTTTTGATTGAGCAAATGGTCAGCATAATACTAGACCTACTATGCTAAAACATAGTTTTGTATTATTTTGTATCTGAGCCTGTATTGAAATGATGATTAGCTATACTTTTCACGCTGCTCTTATTGACCGATTCGTTCGTCTTCCAGGACATCAACTGTGGAACTGAGCTCTTATAATCCATTATATATTTCATTTGTGACGTCTTTGTCCCTTTGCCTATTAAGCCACACTTTCTTTAAAAGTAGATAAGACAGCATCGCGAGTGATTCTAGTTCATATTTTTCACCTTATTGGTATGTTGATATAAACAGCATCAACGCTTTTCTTAACGCGTCGCGACATGTCATCGATCTTTTCCCAGAAAAAAATTGTTATCGACACTTCTCCGAAGAAATTTAAGGGCTGTGGGAACACAGTGGGATTTCATACTTTTCACTGGAGTACCATTTTCATTTTACTGTAGAAAAGTTATGTTTAGCGACCGAAGCATCGGCGCTTCTCTTAACGCGTCGCGACATGTCACCGATCTAACAGTGTATATAGACAGTGTATAAAGCTTTTTTCATTTAATCGTAAACTTCGATTACGAGCGTTAAGACATGTATCGAGTAAAAGAATATATGCGTCGAAAATTGATCGAGAGCAAGGGTACCATCCCTTGTCTCCAGATCCGCCAAGTCCACCACCATCTGGGGAAAAAGCGAGTTATTGGGAATGTCCTGGCGAAAAAGCATCGAAGTCGCTAACGTTCCTCATCATCATGAAAATATAAGCCATAAGATATGACATTTAGAGTGACTAGTGCTAATGCATTTTATTCTCCGCTGAAAAAGCGAGTAGTGATCAAAGAAGTATTCGTTTGTGTGCACCGTGAGTGATTTTTATAAACGTGCAAAAATATTTAGCGTTAATAGTAGAATATTTTTTCACTATTTTTTAATGTGATTAAGTGACAGTGGAAGTGAAAGTGACGGTTTTTGTGATTTTTTTTAGAAAAAATTTTTGTCGACAATTATGAGCACTTTATAAGGGAGGTACTTCAGATCTGGTACGAATACCCCATTGGAAGGAAGTGTTTTTTTTATATGCTAGATTTTTTTTAGCAAATTTGTGTTTCTAACGTTTTTTACTTTTCTTTTTTCTAGTACATCGTGGCCGATAACCTGCGGGCTGTCAGGCTACAGTTGCACAACGAGGTTGGGATCCTCACGGTTTTGTTGGTAAGTTCTTTATAAATTATAAACTATAATTTATAACTTTATTTCTAATTTGTAATCCATTTTTTAGAAAACGCATCGCGGCTGTATACAGATACGAGGATTCATAAACCCGCTCCATCAAAGAATAGTACGCGCGGAAAGGCAGGCCGACAATTGTTTCGGGACCAGTTTATGGATGTATGAGACGACAATAACTTGTTTCTGGCCGGATTGTCCGATCTCCAGTCGTATGAGCCTGAACCGGAAAATTGGGAGTGTGAGTATCATTAATTTATATGTGAATTTTTAAGATTACATATAGTTATATATTTTATATTATATATTGATGTACTTTTATATACTTATGTATACATATATATTGTTTCATTTATATTATTTTTTCATTTTACAGAAAACTACGGTGACAGCGGCGGCGACCGGGAACTATCCCCGCGTCTACGAGTATCTCCCCACGGGTTTAGCTAGGTTTACATTGGACGTAGGACTTAGACATAGACGTAGACGTAAGAATTGGAAAGATAGGAATAGCATGTTACCGTCCATATTGAAACTTAAGCGCAGACGTAGCCGTAGACGTAGGCGTAGAATTTTAAAATTTTAATATTTTTCTACGTCCAGCCAATCACGAGAGGGATGCCCGGTGTATACCATTTGCGCGGACACTTACCGGTTAACCTCTAAACTGTACCACGATTGATATATTCACTTTATAAAATGTATGAAATTGAAAAGTTGGAATTATTAAGATTTTGTTTAATTTTCACTGCAGTGGGTATGATTTTAAGATCTTTGCCAAAAAAAAAAGTTCGTAACAAGCGACGATGATGGGTTCATCCGCTGTTGAGAAATCGGGAAAAACGGAGCCAATATTATAATTTGTTCCAATATATAAAAGAGAAAGATGATGAACAATTTTTTAAGTTCACTCGAATGCCAGTCAACCAATTTGAAAAGTTGCTGGATCTTGTTAAAGATAGACTAATAAAGATCAGTCCAAGAAAGCCATTAAGTCCGGAGTTTCGGCTGGTTATGACATTGTAGTGAGTATTATAATAAATATATTTTTCAGAATTTTATTTTTGGGTTAAGCATATGTTATTAGATAATTATACGTATTTGTTTAGTTATCTAGCCCATGGACCGAGCATGCAGGTAGTTGCATGGAGCTTCTGTGTTTCCAAGTCCACAGTCAGCAACGTGATACGAGAGACTTGTGCAGTTATCTGGGATCAATTATCCCCAATTTACTTAAAACCACCAACTACTGAAGAATGGGAAACTAAAGCAACGGAGTTCTGGTATCGCTGGAATTTACCTAATTGTTTTGATGCGATGGACGGGAAACATATAACGATTCAAGCTCCAAAAAAATCGGGTTCGCAGTATTTTAACTATAAAAAAACGTTTAGTATAGTTCTAATGGCAGTTTGCGATGCTTTTTACTTGTTTACACTTGTTGATGTCGGTGTTTTCGGATCTCAAAGCGATGGTGGCATTTTTAAAGAATCGACATTTGGGAAAGCTATGGATAATAATGAATTAGGCCTTCCAGATTCTACCAATTTACGTGGAACTAATATTGCGTTTCCGTATTTTGTGGCTGCAGACGAAGCCTTTCCACTTAAGCACTATATAATGCGGCCTTATCCCGGAACAAATTTATCAGAAAAACAACAAATTTTTAATTACCGCCTATCACGTGCTCGACGCGTTATTGAAAATACCTTTGGCATTTTAGCCAGTCGGTGGCGAATTCTACATACTAACATAATTGCCGATGTTAGTACAATTGAAAGAATTGTATGCGCTACATTATGTTTACATAACTTCGTTAAAATAGAAGAATCGACAAGTAAGCAGCGTTATTATTGTCCAGATAATTATGTAAATCGTTATGATGATTCAGGACGTGTCATTCTTAGTGACTGGCGAGTAAACTGTCCTCAGATTGATGAATTAGGTCGCACAGGGACAAATCGTTCTACACAAGCGAATATTGATTTACGAAATACTCTTGCTGATTATCTTGTGTCGCCAGAAGGAGAAGTAGATTGGCAGTATAATTATGTAAAACGAGGAAGTTTTTAAAATGTATGAATATATTTTCAGATATTAACTATCAATATATGCATTTATCACAACATATAACAATACATACTTAGTGAGAAATGGTACAGCAAATCACATCAATTCGACGTACCATTTCTCACTGGATATATCCTTTCTTTGGTCTTGTGTTCAACTAATCGTGATCGTCCTGTTGCTGTAATAAAGAAATACAATTTGTATATTAAACAATATGTAAAAGTATGTAAATTTATGTAATAAACTATTTTTACTTTTTAAACTAATATTTATGACATATTATGTACATATCGTATACCTTAATTTTCCGAGTCAGACTCGAATTCATAGAGAAGTTGAGAAATTTTGAATTTCACATTTTTCACTTTTGTCTTTGTCATTTTTTTCATCGATCCGTATAATGAAATGCAAAAATTCCAAAGAGCATCATCTTTTGTATCGTCTTTTTTTACGATTGTTTTTTCTACGCCTTCGAGCATGGAGATAAGACGTTCCTCAGGAGGTAAAGGTTGAGGTTTTTTTTTCTTCTTTTGTTGATTTTCTATCTCCAACAATGGTCGTTTCTTATTAAAATCCAATTTTTCGGTACATTTCGAAGTTCCGTCGTCCCCTGTTTCCTTTTTTATATTTAACAGGTAGTTGCGAACACACATCTTCATCTATGCATTCTACTGATTCGTCCAATACATCTGAGTTTCTGGTGAGTTCTCATCGACATAAAGAATATCGTCTGAAAATTTATTCTTCTGACTGGCATTCAATGCTAAGTTACCAATTGACCTGTACATAACATTATTCCATATATATTACACTAAGTACAACAAAATAGAACATACTACAAAAGTTATTCTTACTTTCTATTTTGTACATGGGGTTGTAAAAATAGTAGGGTATTATATAAAGACCATTCAGTTTCCTGGTTTTCTGACGATGCACCAGACCCAGAAGGAATGTTTGCTTTTTGTCTCCTAACCTTGCTGAAACGTTTTCTTAGAACTTTCCAACGTCGCATAGCATCTTCCGCTGCAAATAAATTAAATATTTTATTATTTTTTTATTAAACAATTCGACAAATTAAAACAACAATTATAGACTTACAGCTGACATTCAATCGATCGCCAATAGACTTCCATGAATTATTGCAAAGTACCTTGTCTTTAAAACCCGGTAATTTTTTATCGTATAAATGAGGATTACTCTCCACCATTAAAATTAACAAACGATCTAATTCTTCGCTCATCTTTTTACTTCGTATTCGAAAATACAATCACTGATACTCGCAAAACAAACACTAAACTTTCGAAATAAAAGTAAGGTTAAGGATGCAGCTCTGTGATTGGTTATAAGGACCACGATCACATACTGAAAAGTACTTCAATGTAAACCACAAAGAATTTCTACGTCTGCGTCTACGTCTACGTCTATGTCTACGTTACGTTCTACGTCCAATGTAAACCACCCTTTAGGCTACGTAATATCCCCAAAGGGAATAACTTTAAGTGACAAACATGTTGAAGCAATTAAACGTTTTCCCGTTCCAAAAAACGTTACTGAATTACAGAGATTCTTAGGTCTCGTAAAGACGATAATGATCTGTTCCTGGCCGAATTATTCGGTCTTCGGTTGTATGAGCCGCAACCGGAAAATTGGGAGTGTAAGTATATATATTTTTTATTTTTTATTTTTTCAATTAAATATTTTTTATTTATATATTACTTCTTATTTTACAGAAAGTTGCAGCAACGGCGGCCCGCGGCGGCGACAGTGGCGGCGACCGGGGACCTAACTCGCGCTACGAAAACCCCCCGCGCTAACGAATACGCCCCGCGCCCCGTCTAGCCCCATGAGTTAGAACCCGTGTAGTATACCTACTAACTTGACCATGTAATGTATGTTATGTATATATAACACATATATGTACAACATATTTATTATATAGGGTATCCAAAAAGACCCCGGATTTATGAGCCGAACATGAATATGGTTATAACTAATCATGTAGGTATGTGAATTGTACTTTTATCGGCGTACATACATAGTACGCCAAAATATAGTGCGTTGACTTATGACTATGATTCATGTTCTATGACTCAGTTACGTACTCAATCATCCTTATGCTAAGGCCCTTACATAACGTTTTTGGATGAAACGTTTCAGACCAAAGTTGTAAGGTTTTAAGGTAAAGGGATGAGCGGTGCAGGCGAACCTACGGTTCGCCCCTACCACCGTTTACACTCCCCCTCACCCACTTTTCCCTCTGGTCCCCATCGCCCGCCTGCCACCAAGTGATCCAGAACATATATTAGATATCACCACCACAACTCTATGATCTAGAATATATAATGTTTTTGTATATCGAGTGTGGTCGAGGAGGTGATTGGTGGAAGGTCGGACAAATCAGTGGGCTCGAACGCGCATCATACAACGCCCACACACATCATCCACACACTCACTTGCCATGATCCAGAATATACAATGTTTTTGTGTATCGAATGTGGTCGAGGGGGGTGATCGGTGAGTCTGACCAATCAGCGGGTTCGATTGGTCCCACCACCGTCACTCTTCCTCTACCACTTTTTCCACCCGTCGTCAACCAGTCATTTTGTGATTTAGAATGTACGTTTTGTGTTTCGAATGTGAGCGAGGGGGGTGAGCGCTGCGGGACGAATCAATCAACGGGTTCGATTCGCCTCTCACCACCGTCATTTCCTCTCGTTCACTTTCCGCTCGGTCGCCGAAGACGCGTGCTGTACGGTTGTAAGCTTATGCAAGACTATCACTTTTGATGACGATTTATGGTGCGACGGGTCACGTTTTCTCTCTCCCCACTCTACTTGGGTTTTTTTCGTCGCGTAGACTTGAGACACCGTCATCGTTCTCGTAATACCGCGGGACTCGCTCAAAGTTCTCATTCGGAGAGGTGGAAGAGGGTCGACTATCGTTGGAAACATCCTTGAGAGTTTTTATTTGGAGGGGCGGGCAGGATTAACTTTCGCTGTGAGATCCTCATTGTTACTGCTCGCTTCCTCACATTCTTTCTGTTAATATCTGAAAAACAAACAACAAAAAATCACCGTGAGGGAGCGCATAGAGAAGTAAAAATGCTGCGTAGAGAAGCAAAAAATGCAATATGCTTACCTGTTACCCCTATCCCCGCTACCTCTACCATCTAATCGTCCTCCAGCAATCTGTGCCGCCTCTGTCTCCTCATCAGCCTCTGCCGCTGTCGCAGCAAGGTACCTTTCAAGAAATTGGTATAATTCCTCCTCATTAGATAAATCGAGGAAGTCGATTAATTCGTCACTCTTACAAGATGCGAAATTAAAAATCGGGAGGCTCTCGTCGAGCTCATGCTCGGAGCTATTTACTGATATTTAGTTTGACCTTGGATGGCGTCTCTAAGATCAGATTAATGTCACATTTTTTTAAAAAAATAAAACATGCTATTTTTATTCTACAATTTAGCAGCTGGTGTAGTTTTTCAAAACTACTCTTTTTGTTAAGTTCTTATTGAATTGTGACACTTGAAAGTTACAGTATTAACCAAGGTGTCCGGCTAGCGGCACTAAAAATAAAAATTAGAGGAACAACCTCCAATGGCCTTGACATATAACGTCAAAGTCATGGACTTAAACAAGATTTTAATGATGTTTAAGAAATATAAAAACATGATATTATATAATACTAAATTATACAACGTTATTAATTTTGACAATATAGGATGGGCTCCTCCATCGCCCATTTCCCGTGAAACGCAATCAAAAATTTTTCTTTGTTTCTCCGTGTTGTGCTTGGATAGGCAAATATTCCCACATCTATGTATGCACACAACATAAATAAAAAATATTTGTATGTAACAGTTATCCCGCATAGCATTTTATATTTTATGTACATATGTGATGTCGCGGCAGCGATCTGCCTAAAAAGGACAGAGTGGGCGCTTTACTACCGCGGCTAAAAGGGGGATAGGCAGCACTCAGAAAATTTTACGATTAATGACTTTGAATAATAACTCGTCGCTGACGCGATTCTGATACAGCAATCACGGTATACTCAGATTCGTAAGGGCGATCCCCGATATGGATCAAGTACTGCGTGAAGTCGAGTACCGTCGAGCGGCAAACAGTACACTCATTCACAGGCCTTGACCGTATGAATGTTCGACCACAAGCAATACAGTTTTCAGCTAAGGAACCCGAAGGATCGTTTGTCCCCAAAGTAATAAAATGACGCGATATACTCTGGTAGGACGCCTTCTGTAACGGGGTCTTAATCTCGTAACAATAATTACAGATATTATTGTCGCTTAATAAATCGTACTTATAGAATAGAGAACTGCAGCATAGGGCTGAGTCTAGCCAGTCTCGGTACGGTAGAATCACAGATTCCCTGCGGTTGTAACGTTCAACGGTCGGTGGGCACATATGGTAACGCTAGCGGAAACGCGGAGAAAGGAACATGTATTATGACTCTATTGTTTTCTAGAATTTTCTGGAGAGTTCTTGTCTTCGCCGGAGGTCGAGTGCGCAACACGTACCGAAATTTCTAAAGATTTCGAAAGCTTTGTCTTCGCGGAGAGATGGACGCGTAACACGTGTGCGGTCAGGATAGCTTACAAAGGATCTCAAAAGGTTTTGTTTCTCCGGAGAAACGGACGAGTAACACGTGTGCGGTAAGAGTAGCTTTCTAGCTATGGCTACGCAACAGAACAATTGGGAACGGGCATGATGACGTCAGCTGGCCAATATGGCGGCCATAAGCCACCACGTCAACACGATGAAAGTGATTTCTTCAAAAAATAAAATTTCTAACCACGAATACTGTTGTGTGTACGGCTGTAAATCTCGAGCTTCTAACAATCGGGAAATATCTTTCCACAAATTTCCAGAAAAAGGAAAATGTACAGTGGAAGTTACAAATAAGTTCGGCACAATAGAAAAAATTGATAAGCGTAAGGCTTGGATAATGGCTACACGCACTGGAGAAGCGGTGACAAGCAGAATGAGAATTTGCTCCTTACATTTTAGTGCTAGCGACTATGTTTTCTCAGGTAAAATGATTACTTTCTGTTCAATTTTGTTTACGTTGTTTATATAAATATGTATATAAAAATGCAATTAAAGTTATAAATTTTCCTCATTATTAAAATTACACGGAACGTTTCGACTGTACTTAGTCCTCCTCAGCCATGTATCAAATATAAATCAATCCTAAACCCCATAAATACAATGTACCATTTAAACTTTACATATTGTCATTAAATTTCTATCGAATTCACTCTCATCCGCTCAAATTCATATCAATCATTCTTATTTTTCATTCTTATTTAATTTACACGCTTAGATTTAATTATTTAAACACGCATCCTCACTCACATATTTTTTATATAACTCTTAAGAGTTATATAAAATCTAAGCGTGTAAATTAAATAAGAATGAAAAATAAGAATGATTGATATGAATTTGAGCGGATGAGAGTGAATTCGATAGAAATTTAATGACAATATGTAAAGTTTAAATGGTACATTGTATTTATGGGGTTTAGGATTGATTTATATTTGATACATGGCTGAGGAGGACTAAGTACAGTCGAAACGTTCCGTGTAATTTTAATAATGAGAAATTAATTAAATCTTTATGTACATCTTGTAAAGCTCGTTTTTGTTGACCTGGTTTGACCTACTGTATTATTGGTTTTTTATACACGAGCGATTAATATATAATTAATTAATTTTTTCTTAATTGTTATAAATTTTTATATTAATTTTTCTTAGAGCTAGAATATGAAAAGCCACGTCTAAAAAAATCTGCTGTTCCAACACTTCAACTTCCCATGCAAAAGATCATTTCTACTGCTTCAAAAGCCAGGGCTGAACGAGTTGCAAAACGAGAAGCGAAAAAAGCAAACAAAAAGGAGAAAGAAGAAACAGTAAAAGATACAGACGAGGCTGTTATTGCCATCGATATCAATGAAGTTGGAGTTGACAGCGCGGGAAACAATGAGACGTTATTAATTGTAGATGAGGAGAAAACAAAACTTAGGGACATCGATATTCAAACGGATTTCTATTCTTCATATTATGATCAAATAAAAACCGATCGTGAACTAAGTACAGCTACAGGAATTCCCAATTTTGAAATATTTCATGTAATTGTGAGTAATGTCAAGAAACTGTACAACAATGCTAAGAGTAAGTTATCAGTAGAAGCAAAAGTGATGCTGACATTTATTAAATTAAAACAAAATATTTCATTCGCTTTTTTGGCCACTTTGTTCAATTGCTATTCTGTAAAAACTTGTCGAAGGATTTTTGTAAACATGATTAGAGTACTGCGTGTATGTTTCGACAGTTGCATACATTGGCCCTCAAAACAAGAGATCCTTAGAAATATTCCAAACTGTTTCCTTCCATTTCCTGATATTCGCATAATATTAGATTGTACGGAAATACTTTTGCAAAAACCTAAATCTGTATGCTGTCAAGCGATAACATACTCTAATTATAAATCAAACTATACTTTAAAGATCATGACAGGTGTTACACCAGCTGGAACAATTTCATTCGTAAGTCGTTGCTATGGAGGTCGATTTTCGGACAAAGCAATTTTTGAGCAAAGCAACTTGTTTAGTTTGCTAGAAAAAGGTGATAGAATAATGATTGATAGAGGATTTTTTATAGATGCACAATGCAAAGAACATGATATTCAAATCGTTAGGCCTCCATTCTTAAGAAATAAGAGTCAGTTATCAACAGAAGAAGCACTTCTTAGCCAACAAATAGCAAAAGCGAGAGTTCATATTGAACGCAGTAATCAGAGGCTGAAAGTATTTAATATATTGAAAGGTAGATTTCCCATTAGTTTGGTACATCTTTGTGAAGATATTTTTATAATTATTTGTGGTCTTGTAAACGTATGTTCACCTATTTTAAACGACGATAAGTTTCCTGTGTAAAAATAAATTTGTACATACTACAAATAAATTGATACAAATGTTTGAAACAAGAATCATTTATTATTTTTTTCGTACGTACATACAAAATGCAGCATTTGCTGAAAATAAACACGTTTTAAGGTTTCTACTAAATCAGTCACATATTCTTCGTCAATCGGAACAGGAATGACTAAAGAAGTATTGTCGAAGGATGCAAAAATCATTAAATCAGTGACTTGAACATTCATTATAGCCATGCATAATTGAACTTGCGCGTAGTACATGTGGCGTTTTTTTAAAGTACAATGTTCATCGAGATATTTTAACTTTGGAACCACATCGTCAATGTTATGATCTTTTCCATGAAAGGGACATTTTATTTCAATTAATTTTAATACATTTCCATTTTCGTCCAAAATAACACCATCTGGTGAACATGCCAACCACGGATTATTATTAGAAACTACCAAGCCACATTGGTGCACTTTCAGTTGATAATTATTCTCATATACTTCGCGAGCAATTGGTTCGTTTTGTATTCCGTGTTGTACATATTTATTGGAGTGTTCTTTTGGATAAAAATAATTTAAACTTTTTCTTTCCCAGTTGGGTTTCTTATTATTCGCGTATGTGTACAACTCATAACACCGAGAACTTGTGATTCTAAATTTACGCTCTTCTTTCCATGTAGCAAATAATCTTGCACTATCTATGCAAATCTGTCTGTAATCTCCACGTAGTCTATGTGTTGTGTTTTGACAGCACTCTTTAAGGATCCCTACATCTAATTTTGATAAGTTTTTCATAAATTCTGAAGTATTTGTTCGACTTATAATTACGTCTATATTATTCATGCAATCGTGGGAGACACTGTTATCATGCAATTCTATTTCATCATGTCTTCCATATCTAATTAAACATAACATAAATAAATAATAATAGCAATGTATAAAAAATAATAATAATTTATTCCTTCGTATCTATAATCAAATGTATAAAAACAAATTGTAAAAAAAATTGTAAAATTACTTTTTATTGAAATTCATTCACATATAGGTATATACAGTAAATTCATTCGTATAATTAAATGTATAAAAATAAATTGATAAAAAAATTGTGTACAATGATAACAACTCTAAACCAACTTACAAATGTTTTCTTATAGCACTTGATGAGACTGAAAGCCAATTTTGTTTAATCTCCTCCCCTTTTTCTGCAGACACATTAACTACTTCGGTTTTTATTTTTTGCATGCAAGGGTGATCCAGTAAAGGCATCGGTTCATACTGTTGCAATGCTTCTTTGGTTTTTTTTTTCCAGGAGCACTCGACGTCAGTGCATGACAGTTCGTCAAGTTTCGAAAGTTCGACTCTTAAAATATAAAAAGAAATGAAACATTAAAATAGAAAAAACTAAATTATGCATTAATTAATCGTCTTAGAATAATTTCTTAAATTGCATGCGAATTGACAGTTATATATGCGATAAACTGATTATATTTTAAAACTTTTTGTTCATTGAGGTTAGAAAAAATATTAGTTGTTAAAGTCATGAGTATATACTAATTTTACTTACACTACATGTATATCAAAAGCTTATTATTATAAAAAATTATAAGATTCAACTAAAAAAATAATTCATACCTTTGACAAAACATGAGTGCTGCAATAATATGTTTACATCGTCCGCTGTTTCCTGCTTTGCAGGAGCAGCACATTTTGACAATTTCTCCATTAGTTGAGATGCTTCCTTCAATTTTATGAGGAATTCCGGTTTTCAAACTAGATGTTTGCAAACATCTTGCAATTAATTGTATCATTCTATTTTCGGTTTGCGGTAAACGACCACAAGATACGATATGTCCAGCTTGTAATAGTTTCTCTCCTTCCACGATATTTCGAGACGACAGAGTTGAGTCTGCATATCTGCAGATTTCTAACAATGTTAGAAACATGATTCACTTTACACTAATTAATGCTTTCTTCTTTATATCTACAAAACTGCGTGAGCACACATATGTCTCACGTGTTGACGTGGTGGCTTATGGCCGCCATATTGGCCAGCTGACGTCATCATGCCCGTTCCCAATAGGTTTCGCGTTTCTCTTCCCGTCGGCGGGTGATCGCGTCGGGAGGATGACCCAAGTCAACCGCTTTCTTATTGTCTTTGAACAAGAACGTTAACGGACGCCTAGAATTTTCTACCGTTTAGTGCTTCGTATAGCGCATGATATTCTCGAGCATTTATGCAATATAAGTATATTTGATCGTGCAGTACATTTGATCATACGATAGAGTATTTCAAGATCGAGACTTGAGAATTTAATGTTTGTGCATCAATTTAAGCTAAAGCAAGAATTATTCAATTGATTATCGTCTATGATATAATACTCGGAGTCTAATGCTTGCTAGTACAATACAGTTATGCGTATGCAAGAGCTATTCATTAGCTTGGCGATTATATGATTATTAAGATTCAGAATTCATACGCAGATGCAAATATAAAGTGATATCTCTATGTGGATTTATACATGGAATCTGCTCCGCTTGTACATAAGGAATAGACGTGCTCGCGATGCACGCTATTAAACTAGAACTGATTTAATATCCGACGACGGCTCGTCGCTCAAGATTCGATCGTTACTATAAGAATGTGAATCTTCACTTACCTTTGTTGATTATCGACTTCAGAGAGAGGTTATAATGATTTCGATAGCTTCCTTCCTTCTTTATTTTCCTCGAAGGTTCGCGCGGCTTATGCCGTAATTATTAGGATTTATTTAATCGCAGATTTTAACTTCGCTCGCAGGTGTGTTGCACGTGCCCTTGGTATACTCTCAGGGTCGCCGCAAGTGTAATTCAACTTGCGATGAATGAGTAAATCAAAGTCGTGTGACTAGGAGTACCGTAGCGGATTCAGTGATCAATCTAAGCTTCCGCGAGTGTAGTTCAACTCGAGGCTGCTATGACGATTGAATCTGCACAGCAAGGAATCGCGCACTCGGTCTCGGAGGAACACGTGGGTGGACGGGTGCGTCGAGAATTAACACTGGCTCTAAGTTAATACTATAATTTATTGCTCGAAGGTTAAGCAATTATAAATGATTATTACAGTAGTTACAATATTTTATTATTAACGCTCTTACATATTAATTTGAGATTTACTCGAGGTAGAATTATCAATTCACGTTGCGAATAGTAATTGAATATAATTGAATATAGAATGCAATCTTACGTTGCGAATAGTAATTGAATATAATTGAATATAGAATGCAATCTTACGTTGCGAATAGTAATTGAATATAATTGAATATAGAATGCAATCTTACGTTGCGAATAGTAATTGAATATAATTGAATATAGAATGCAATCTTACGTTGCGAATAGTCTCTCTTGAACAGAGGAGACTGGGAACTTGTCGATCCGTAAACGAGTTTAAGAACCGGAGTCAGAATAACGTGTGTATGACTCGACTTCTTACGAAGCTCGGACTCCACACATTCTCTGGCTGTGACTGTTAGTCTGACCGTTTTGACTACAGAATTCTGACTGACTTGCTTGCGGCGTCCGCAAGTGAGTTTTGCTTCGCATTCCCTCTCTCCACGCTGGACCTTTGGTGGGGAAGGAGCTGTATGCAAGACGGATCTTGTAGGAATTGACGTTGCTGGCCTAAGCCTGGACATGGTAACAGACATGTCAGTAATTGATGCGTTGGTAACTGGTAGACTTGGTAAGTCGTGAAATGGTACGTTACCGATAGCGAGGTAGGTGTAGTATAGTATATGTAAGTATATGTAACCAGGAAGTTTGGTATAGGATGCGTGGATTATTGGTTACAAACATTCGATTATAATATCACTTTTGTGCGGCGCTTCTCATACATACATTCAGTCATAATATCACGCTTTATACGGCGTTTTCATGCATTCGATTATAATATCACGCTTCGTACGGCGCGATGGTCATGAGGTGTATTCATTTATAATGTCAATGTTACGCTCCGTACGGCGCATTGGCTGCCTGTTTCTTATATTTCAGGCGTACGAAGTGAAGATGCGGGTAATTATACAATGTATAAATGTTTATGTGTGTTAGATACATTTATAACTTCAATAAAGAAATATGACAATGTCACGAACGTGTTATGGCTTACTTCTAATGTATAATCCTTATGATTAGCAAATGGTTCATGAATGGGAATACGTAATAAGTCTCGGAGAGATTGTGTATAATATGATTACATATAATGTAAGATACAGAAAACGCATATGACGCAGTTACATGGTTATTGCAATACAAGATGCGCAGAATGTGTGTAGCGCGATTACATGATTAATGTATTGAGCAAGAATATAATGTGAGGTGTCTACAATATACGAATTGATATTCAGGTAAAAGAAATCAAAACGAGTGAGATGCGTCGCAGGGAACGTCACACATAGCAGATACATAAAATTTGAAATGTTGCTATATAGCAAATACGGAACAGTGCGTATGAATCGTGTATCAGATACATGTTTAATACCAATAAATGAACATTTTTTTTGGCCGACTTTTCTGGAGGCGATTGGGCTAATAAAAAAAATTTTTTTTATTTGTTGAAAATTTTTCTAAGTCCAACAGTTGGAAAAAAAGTCGGTCGAAAATCCCCGAAATTACCGAAAATCCCCAAAATTTCCCAAAACCCCCCATTTTTATATATGCGTCCATATAAACATAAGTCGACCGAATCGTCAAGTTAACGCGAACGCGTTCTTGATACATAAACCTTAATCGAGTCGACTCTTCATTATTTTGGACGTTTAACACTATAATAAAGAAATATAATAGCCGATTTAAACATAAATATATTGGATATATTTGTTTTAGTGTTCAAATAATGCTGGTTCAATGTATAAAATAAGTAAATACAAAGGATATCACAGTATTGTGCTAATGGCTATTGCATCTGCTTCGTACCGATTCATGCTTGTCGATATTGGTGCTCAAGGTCGCCATAGTGATGGTGGGATATTTTTAAATTCTATAATGGGTCACACAAAGATTTCATCAAGAGCAATTAAATATTCCATTGCCACTGCCACTTCGTATCAATGGACCGTCTCTTTCATATATAATCGTGGCTGATGAAGCATTTCAATTGAATAAATTTACATTAAGACCCTATCCAGGAAGAAATATAACTGCGCATTTACAAATACATATGTTTACAAATACATGTATTTACAAAGAATATTTAACTGCCGTCTAAGTCGCGCTAGAAGAGTTATAGAGAATGCTTTCGGCATCATGGTTGCACGATTTCGCATACTTCAAGGACCAATAACAACATCTCTCGAAACTGCAGAAAAAATCGTAAAACCATGCGTAGTACTCCATAACTTTTTGTTGTCGGAACCAGCTTGTCCTCCATTATTAGGGGATTTTGTAGCCTGCAATGGTGATATCATTGAAGGACAATGGCGACAAATGAACTTGGATAATACAGCCTTTCATACAATTGGGCGTATTGGAGGTCAAGCACATTCTCGCTATGCTGCCGAGAAGCGAAATAAATTCAAAGACTATTTTTTAAACGAAGGTGCCGTTCCTTGGCAGTGGGTACACAGGGTGTCTGGAAATTACCGCCAAATGTTTCGTGCGTGGGTAGAACAGACTATACTGAGTCGGAAAGTCCTGTACTAAAAAGCCAATCTAAAAAGCAAAACTCGTATTATTCTAATGTTGCAACGATTCTACTTTTTATTGTCGGGTTAGTTTTGTAAAACCGAACTCTGTTCTGTATTTTATCTTTTCGACCTGGGGAGAGATTTTCAAAACCTCGACCTTTTCACTTACTGGATTGCAGATCCTTTAAAAACGTCACGAAAACTATTCTATCTATATTATACTATATGTACGTCGATACAAGTACAATTCATATTACTTCACGATTAGTTATACCCATCTTATGTTCAGCTCATAAATAATACATTATTTTAAGAATATTTACTGTCTGGGAAAAGACAAAAGTGTATTGTTTGCTACCATAGAGACAAAATGTTGTTTCATTCAACATTTTTGAAATATTTTTCTTTGCTAGGATTTTTATCCAAAGCTACATCCATTGCAAAAGCTGCAGTATATATTCCACAAGACGTACCATCCGACTGCATTTGAACTTTTTCAAATCTTATATCGGTAGATACTTGTGGAAAACGAGTTCTAATATATTGTTTTTCTTTCGACGCCATTCTATCGTATGTATAGTCTGGTAAGCTGTCATATACGTAAAGTTTGTTTTCCATCGGAAAACAATTCATATTACTTCACGATTAGTTATACCCATCTTATGTACAGCTCATAAATAATACATTATTCTAAGAATATTTACCAAAAGATACAACGACAGTGATTGGTAAAATTTCCTCTAATTATTTGGATAGGTATTTTTGCGACAACTGGCTGTAATTAAATCTGGAAATTCTATATAGTGTACGCTTTGTGTTTCGAAACACGATGTTTCTGCCACAATAAGAAGATATCCAGCGTCATTTAATTGACTATCTTTAGACAAAACATTCTCTTTCACCGAAGAGATATCTGGCGACCGTCTAGTACTTTTCTGCGACTTGCCATTTCATCTGCTGTCGGAATATGGTTAGTTACATGACTAACAATGATACAGTCATCTGGCTCCATCACGGCAGCAGAAACAGTAGCACTTGTTTCTACGATATGATATTTCTTCGATATATTATTACATTTTAATCGTTTTTCGTTTTTTCTTCATCGACTGATTCTATCATTACATGTTGTCGTTTAGTGTTACAAGTATTTACATTTTCGGACAACTTTTCTTTTGCCTCTATTATATATTTCGGTTCTCTGATAGGCATATGCCTAACATACCGACTAAAATTTCAGGAAGCATGCAGTTAAATTAAAAACGTGTTAAAAAAGGCAACATTTTATTTTGCCAAAAATCGTTGTCTCTACTAACACGCACTTTCATGCTTCTCGGTATCCATACAACGAAAATGCAAAAATCGCGTTGTGTTATGTTTAATTGACCCTGTATTTGATAAAAGAACCGATGATTCCGTAATTGGTGACGGTGGCGGGACGCGGCAGGGTAATTGGTGACGCGAATCCGAAATGATCGGATAAATAAAACGAAAATTGCTGCGTCTTAAACGCAATGAAATAGAAACGCGAAATTTCAACCATGTTACACCTCACGCCGTAACATAAAAAAACATTTAGATCTTTTTTATTAAAAATACTTTTCAGTCGAGGCAACGTATGAATAGCTTCCTTCGCTATTAAATTTTCAACAGAAAGAGAACATTTGATCTCTACTAGACTATCCTCCTCGAGAAGCCCATCAGGAGATGCACTCAACCACGGATAGTTAGAATCAATAAACAATCTGCATGGCTTTATAGCTTTAACATTTCTGATAATTTCCGTTTTGCTATTTCTTCCATATCGTGACCATATTTCATGGCTCTGGTATCTATAGATGGAG